ACAAAGTATTAATAAGATAATAAATTATTTATAAAGAATTTATAGTTTGTTTATAAAGTATTAATAAGATATTAATAAAGTATGAATAAAGTATTAATAAGATATTAATAACGTATGAATAAAGTATTAATAAGATATTAATAACGTATGAATAAAGTATTAATAAGGTATTAAGTCTTTTTCTCCTGTAAATGTTATATTAAATAAAGATGAAATGTGCTCACCTTTCGGTTTTGCTGGTTTCTTGACAGAGTTGAGTTGTCCGCTGACGTCCTGCAGCCTCCTCTCCAGCTCCCTCCTCTTCTCCAGCGTCAGCTCCTCTTTGGACAGGCCCACGCCTCCTTTCTTTGCAGCTGCAGAGGAGAACAGCACCACGTCGGGCGGTTTGTGAAACGGTTTTGATGCAGGACTTCTGTGGACAGAGAGGTGTGTCGGAGCGGTTTCTCTACCTGGCTCACCGTAAGGCTTGCGTGGCTTCTTCCTCAGACACGTCATGACGTAGCTCTCCAGCTCCTTCAGCGTGGACGGCTTCAGCGTCTCGAAGTCGATCTCGATCTCCTCGGGGTTGGTGTCCCTCAGGGAGGGCTCCCTGGACTGGATGATGTGGACCACACGGCCGAGCTTCTCGCCCGGTAACTTGTTGATGTCGAGGCTGAGCTGGCGCTTCTCGTCGTACGTCATGGGTATGATCTCCTCCTCTTCCTCGGAGTCGTAGTGAGGAAGCATGGAGGGAGCCAGGGACGGATAGAACGGCTTCTTTACAGTCCTGAAAGAAAACAGGAAGTGGGCTGTTTGTACCATCAAATGAAGGGAAGTGTGAGGCTGTACTGAGGGATTGTGGGTAGTTTTAATGTTCTTACTTGCTGTTCTTGTTGCTCTTCTTCACTTGGCCTCTCTTGGCCTGGGAGCCACCTGCTTTGGCAGATTTACTTTTCAGCATCTTTCCTGGCATCCTCCACTCCTCAGAGCCGGCTCTGCTCCTGATGCCTCGACCGCGCTTCTCCACCTTCTTCCTCTTCTTCTTCTCTTTCTTCTCCTTCTTCTTCTTGGGCTTGGTGATGGGGCCCTGGGAGAGCGCGGCCAGCTGCTCATGCACGGCGCGCAGCTGGGGGAGCAGAAATCCCTTTGATGTTTGTGGAAACAGAAAGGAGATCTGAATCCTGTAGGAGTCGCGGGACTCACCTGCGTGCAGACTTGGTCCTGCAGCTCGGCCAGGCGGTGGGCCCGCTCCTCCTCGCTGTCGGAGCTGGGGCTGCTCTCGCTCTCCTCGCTCTCGCTGCTGGGCTCGCTCTCGGAGGAGGAGGACGAGGAGGAGGAGGACGAGGAGGAAGAGGAGGAGGAGGACGTCGGATGGCCGCTCATGGACATGGCCGTGTGTTCCACCTGAGGCTCGTCCGGCATCTTGGCAAAACGGAACTCGAAAACATCCTGGGGTACAGAAACAGAGGGGACTGAAGGAAGGCGAACGGTGACAGATCCTCACACGAGGCTCGTGCGAGGACGTGCGCTCAGCGGGAACCAGAGAGCCACGCTCACCTGCAGCTTCCGCGCCATGGCCACCACGTCGTGGTCAGGTGGGTTGTACTTGTAGCAGTTGGAGAACATGAGCCTGACGTCACTGGAGAACTGCTGAGCGTCTCTGTACTCTCGACAGTCCATCTTTCTCTGACGAGGAGTTTGAAAAGATTAAAGTTTTTAACTGTAGATGAGGGATGGGTAAAAAATGGATTTTATCCATTTTGGATTGATTTCATTTAAGTTTGTGAAAATCGATCCACGTGGATTTTTCTCCATGCCGTCTCATGTGTGATGAAAATGAGGCACGTTTCTATATTTTCTGTCACTCCTGGCTTGCCGTTTGTTAAAATCCAGCTGACATTCAGCGCTAACGTTAGGGTTGGGCAATATCGGCAAAAAAATTAATCACGATTGTTAAGGACTAATTATCTATCTGTTCCACCTTGACGCTGTCCAGTACTCATATCTTATGATCGATGTCAATCTGTATGCCCAGACGTCAGGACTCCGCAACGGACTGACCTCTCTTGTTTTATAAGAAACTCTTAGAGCTGAGAGCTCTGTGATTGGCTGGGCAGTACATTTGTCGATCTGTGATTGGTTGTAAACTGTCACATGGTGTTAACATAATGTTATATTACTGGCTGTTTCTGCTGACGAAGCCAGCCACAAGCCGACAGAGTTTCCTGATTGAGTTCTGTTTGTTTGTCGCTCAGAATTAAATCATTATGACGACCATACACGCAGATTTTCTGTACATTATTCCAACGTGTTTCTGCATTCTTCATAAACTTGCCACGACAGTTAATTGGCGTTGTCTGAAAGGCGGCTCCCAAGGACCGGAAGATTGCCCGCAGCAGTCGACTGTTGTTTTTCTCGGAGATCCACCAGAAAATGAAGGAAGTTTTATTTTCTGACAGAGCTGGACCTGTTTTTCACATAATAATTGTGGTATTTAGCTGATAAGGATTAATTTGACGATAAATCCCTTGGGACACCCTCATGTCCTGGTCTCATGACCAATTTAGTGGGAAAGATTTGCTCTTCATAAAAATCTTTTCTAAATTGTGTAAAAATTACAGACTTCAGGCTGTACGTCTAATTTTAAATTGTGTTGAAAGATAAATAAATTACAGAACTTTTTTTAACGTTCGTCATATTTGAAGTGGAGAGGAGCACTGAGCAGACTGACTGGTGGCATTAATCGTATTAATCGTCAAGTGCCAAAAAATAAACTGAATTATGTTTTTCAGACAATTAATTGCACTTGATACGATTAGCCCAACCCTACTGCTGAAAAGATGTCTGGGGCTAAATGAAAGAAACTAAGGAATCACTAACACGACTCTCTGCAGAACTTAAAGATAACAGAGACCATGCAGACGTTAGTTTGTAAAGATTTACTCTGTAGAGGAAAACTACTGTATGTAAACATCTGACTGAAACTGTTCTTAAATGCGTGAAAGACCACATTCTAACAAAATCATTTAGTTTTGTTACAATATTATTATTTTTAAACTTTAAGAAATGTTTTGATGAAATTCAGTGATGAAAAGTTGTAGTTGTATCATTTTTTTCTTTTAATTTGATTTGACCATTATTTACCAGGCAAGTCCCATTGAGATGACAGATCTCTATTTCAAGGGAGGTCTGGGCCTGAAGGCAACCTATTGTACATGTTTTTGCTTTTAATAAGTTTTATTGAACAGAACAACAGAAGCTAACAGGAACATTACAAATAAATTTCATACATTCAAAAGGAGTGGGCAGAAGTATATTTATATTAGCCCACCTCTTCTCCTGCAACCTTATTCCATCACTTCTTAGTGATCAAAATTATTAATTTCTTAAAAATGAATGTCATCATTGTCACCTGCAATCCCTTTTTAATTTAAACATTTTAAACTTGAGTTTTGCTTCAAGATTAAACTGTTTGATTTACAAGTTTGCCCATAAAACCTGTTTATGGTGAAGAGAAATAAAGTGAATTTGTCCTGATGCATCTCAGTAATCCAGGAAGAAAAAAATCAAAAGTCCTCTGGATGGGTTCTTCTTTAGTGAAACGTTTCGTCTCTCCTCCAAGAAACTTCTTCAGTCTGATGAGTTTCAGGTGAACTCAGCCTTGTAAGCACTGCCTCCACATGGACAAACAGGTTAGTCACATGAAAACGAGGGCCATCGACTAACGATAGGCTTGATTGGCTCTATTATTCATAGAGGGTCATGTGCCCCATCACCTGACCCGTGTCGTGTTATGTGAATGCAAGCGGAGTTCAACGTCCCCTTGTTTTTGTCCCTCCCTCCCTCTTTGTGTTGGTCATCTTTGGGGCCCTGATTCACACCTTTTGCTCACAGGGGGCGGAGTCATACTTGCAATAACAGCGTTGTTGGAAGGCAACTGGACACGAAGGCCTCCACCTCTGTTTAATGATGGACGGTCTTTCTTCACAAAGATGGCTTCCTTTACTCCTCTCTCAAACCAACGTTCCTCTCCATAAAGGATGAGAACATTTTCATCCCTGAAAGAGTGACCGCTGGTCTGTAGATGAGTGTAAACTGCAGAGTCATGACCTGTAGATGAGTGTAAACTGCAGAGTCCTGACCTGTAGATGAGTGTAAACTGCAGAGTCCTGACTTGTAGATGAGTGTAAACTGCAGAGTTCTGACCCGACAATGTAGCTCGTCTGTGCTGGCTCATTCTTTTGAACAGTGGCTGTTTTGTTTCCCCGATGTGTAAATGATCACAGTCCTCCTGACACTTAACAGCATACACTATATTACTCTGTTTTTGCCGGGGAACTGGATCTTTGGGGTGAACTAATCTTTGTTGTAACGTGTTTTCCACTGGGACGTTATGTTTAGAGAATAAAAGGTCTCAGTTTCTCTGAAACTCCCGCCACATAAGGAATGACTTACGTATGTACGTGTGTTTTTGTATTTTGCCACACAGTTGATCCATTTTCATTATTAGCAGCAGACTGAATTGAATTGTGATAAATCGAGTCAAAACCTTATGAATTGAATGAATGGATTTAGAGAACTGGTCACAATCCCCAACCCTAGCATTGAGGAGACCCCACAGGTCCTGGTGTTTCCCTAAACCACTGCTGCACAAAGATTTAAAAATTTTCAAGGTTTTTTTTGTTTGTTTTTGAGACATTTATCAGTCTGATCAGAAAGTTGTGATGTTTTAGTGTTTTGTGTGGTTTACTTGCTGTAAGCAGGTACCTTGATGGTGCTGAGGTCCATGGGACATTTGATGATGTCATGGTAGTCGTGCAGGCCCAGCGAGGCTGCGTCCACAGGTGTGTAGAAGGGCCAGGCGTAGCCGGCGTGTTTCTTGGACAGCATGTCCTTCAGCAGCCCGCTGCAGTACCTCAGCTGAGGGCTCAGCTTGCCTTTCTTCGACAGCTGGTGCTGGACTGAGTCCGGCAAGTCCTTGTTGGGGGGTTTGATGGGGCGCCCGCTGCCCACCCGGCGTCCCGTACCGGACATCATGGGCTGGAGGAGGACGGGACCTCCGGAGCTCCGGACCAGGCCCAGCCCTGGCGGGGTCTCCAGGCCCATGCCTCCCATCAAGGAGACCGTGTGCAGGGAGGGGTCGTGGACTTGGCCCCCGTGTCCTCCCTTCCCCAAGCCCACCATGTGCGGGGACATGTGTGTGGCTCCGGACAGGCCCATGGAGTAGCCCATGGTGGAGGGGGTGGTGGTGTCTGCTTTACGTTTCACACCTTTCTTCTACAAATTAAAATTAAAAATCACATTAATCTCATAAAATCCTCCTGATCTAAACATTTTATTAGAACAGATTGACCCAAACAGGTTTTTCTCTTAGTTTCTGTAAACATTGGCTGCAGACAGCCGAGGGTCTGCTGGTACCTTGGTGGTGGGCTGTGTGGGAGGCAGGCCCATGATGGTGGCTGGAGGCAGGCTTTTGGTCAGGACTGTCTGAGGGGAGTTGGCCAGCATGGAGTCCCCCGTGTCTGAAGAGGACGGCGAGTAGGCCGACTGGGACACCGCCGGCACCTGCTGGGCCCGCGAGGCTGAAGACAGACAGACGTTTGGACACAACCTTTACTCCCTCCAGCAGACAGCTGTTTAGCAGAACTTAAGCCGATTCTAAACAATGTTAACGTTATTTTGACACATTTAGCTGCTAGACTTCAGATAAACTCACTCACTGTGAGATTTACGAGATCTTCCCCGGCTGTTTTTGTTTCGAGGAGCCGGTGGAGGGAGCTCCACCTCCTCTTGAGGCATCTGAGCAACTTTCTGGAGAAAGATCTTCTCTAAAGACTGAGCCATCAACACGATGTCGTCCATGGGCTGCACAGGAAGGAGCACAGAGGCTGGTTTAAAGGGCCTGTGACGTCAAATTTTTGTAACACATATGAATGCATTTTTWGAAAAAAGGACATTGATAAAATATTGCAAAAGAAATTTCATGTCGCTGASATGAACAGTTGTTGAGATATTTGCCTGTGAAGTAACAGGAAGTGATGTCAAAGGGGAATGTCTGCATGTGAACAGAGCGTTGCTACAACAGCTAATAACCCAGACTGTAGAGAAGAATCTGATGTTTCTTAAGATTATTTTGAGTCTCTATCAGAGATGAAGAAGAGTTCAAATAATATTGTTTCAATAAACAAAGACCAGAGAGTTTTGTTTGTTAAAGAGTTCCCCTTTGATGTCACTTCCTGTTTCCCTTTGGCTGAACCAAGTTCAAAAGAAAATCAGCCAGTTATGGGACAAAAATGTGTTAAATCATGTGTATTATGTCAACTTTCTTAAATATAAAGATGTTTTCTTTGACTGTTTGTATTTGATGATGTTACAGGAACTTTAAAGCTCCATTAAACATCAAACTTTACTTTAAGACAGCTCAGAACACGTGACTGTGTTTACACATACAGGTGTTTCAGTTTAGACAATCCCTGAGAATTAAACACTAGTTTAAATCAAAAGACCAATAAAAAACAAATCTTTACCTTAACTGCAGAAATAACCATCAGAATTTACGAAACAATAATCTTTTAAGATACTAAAAATAAAAATATCTGATGTTTGCACAGGCACAACGTTGCAATGGATCTACACTAAAGGCCCACACACACTCGGGCGTACTTCACTCAGCGGACACAAGGCAGACTCGAAGCGGCCGTCCGCCGGACAGGTCCTTGAACAGAGATCAGTTTTTAACATCAGCGTCTGCCAAGTTCCACAATAAACTGCCTGGTGAGTTCACGTCGAACTGTTTTGGGTGCGACACCAAGCTGATAAAGTTGAGAATCGGTGTCATTTTTTGGACGAAACGGAGTCAAAGTTTGAAGAGCGTCTCATGGAGGAGATTAGAAAACTTTATGATGCGTCAGTGAAGGAACAGAAGAACGTTCAGCAAACAACAAATTTGAGTTAGGAAATAGCTCAGATCCTGGGTAAGGTTGTTTTTTTTTTCTTTTTTTCTTTTGTTGTTTTAAAGCTAAAATGCAAACTGTCTCTTCCTCCTGATCCCTGACATCATGACTGAAATTGTGAGAAATTAAAGAATTTGTCCGGCGGTCCGTACGCTCGACTATGAAGTCTCAAACATCCACGGACAATATGCACGGAGTCTGCGCGACTCACGGACGGCACACAGTACGCCAGAGTATGTGGGAGCCTTTAAAGTGCTGAGTCAGCACGTCTCCTGAGCGTATTGCTGCATTAATTATGTTCCTGAACAACTTCAGGCTTTGTTTTCTTGTTTTGTTATTATTGAGACTAAAGCCCAAAGCAAATAAAAAATTAAACTCCTTAAACATCCTGTGCCATCATGAAATAATAAAAGTTAACCAGGACCTCAGTACTTTTGTAATAACAGAGATTTATTAGGATAAAAAAAAGTTTTGCTTCTTTTATTTTGACCAACCTTGTTGTAGATGTAGCAGTTCGTAAACATTGTGTTGAAGTCCTGTATGCACTCACTTGCACTTTGGTAAAAGTTATTTTCCAAACGTTTCTTTATTGTCCCCATATCCATAGGTTGTTTGATAATTTTATAATAATCCTGGAAAAGAGGAAGAAAGGCAGGACTTCATGAGGACAAAGGCGTCTGGTGCTACTTTATCCTAATGGAAACCATGGTTTCCATTAACGAGAGCAGAGAAGTGAGCTCACCGGCAGGTTGAGCCTGTAGGCGTCCACGGGTTCGTGGAAGGGCCAGGCAAAGTGGTGCTTCCACAGAAACTTGGTCAGGGTCTTCTGCAGGTACTGCAGCTGGTTGGTCACGCGGCCCGGATGGATGGGGTCCTTCACCGGCGGCTGCGGGGGGGCGGGGGATGCTTGGGGCATGGTGTGCGGCAGCGAGGGGCTCTCGAAGTCCTCGTATAGCAGGGAGGGTTTGCGGATGCGTTTGCCTGAGCTGGTGTGCTGGCTCATCATTCCACTGGACCACCCAACCGGGCAGCCACGGTCAGGGGGGCAGCAGGACCAGAGGGGGGGACACAGAGACTAAAACATTTCAATTATTCCCATTTTATGTAGGGAGGAGTTTTACTCTGCAGGTGCAAACTTACAACACAAACTGGGAAAGAGTTAATATTCAACAAACCATTTGACATTTTCTCCTAAAACCCTGGAGTTACAGGGTTATTTAGACCAGTGTTTCCCAAAGTTGGGGTCGGGACCCAAAGTGGGGTCCTGAAACATCAAGGTGGGGTCCTGAAAAGATTTTCTGAATTAATTACATTTTTGCCTTAGTTGTTACAAAGGAGTGAGGTTAGTGTATTTAAAATAGATAAATGTAGTATAAAAATATTGTTACTACGCCCATGTTTTGTTGACCTGATACAAATGTTTATCATCCAAAATTAGCTGAGGGCCACAGGTCTCTGCTACTGTTATTTTGTGGGTCAAAAGCTGAAAAGTTTGGGAACCACTGCACTTTGGTTCCCAAAGTTGGGCTTGGGACCCAATTATGGGTCATGAAGCACCTTGGATAATCTCCAGAAATCAATGTAAAGGGTAATAAAATAATTGCTGATGTAATATTTTTCCCTATATTTATTACAAAAACACAAAGTAAGTATAAATAAGTATTTATATTTGTGTGCAAGCTGTTTAGATTGTCAAAAAGCCTGTGTTTTTAGGGTTATTAATGAAGTTCGTGTACACAGACCAGTAATATTTGGGGTCACAAGTTTTTGCCATGGATATTTTGTGGGTCAGAAGATAAAAAGTTTGGGAACCACTGATTTAGACAATATTCTCTTCTTTTTAGACAATCTATAGTCTTGTTTAAATCAAACGATGAGATGTTTAAGGAGTCACTTCAGATTTCAGTCACATAACCTACATGAACTCAGACACCAGTTAAACAACTCAAACAGGAAGTTAGATCCATCAATGGGCTGCTACTTTTTACATCCTGGGAAACACAACAGCTTACAAACATCCATTTTTTTTCCACAATAAGACCTGAGGGATAAAACTCCACAGGCAGAAAGTCACATAAACATACAGAAAGCAGCTATTTTAATCAGTGGCTTATGAACGTATAAATAATAACACTAGAAGTAAATTTACCATCAAGACTCAAGAACTCAAACATAATTATCAGCTGGAACCAACATAAACAGCAATAAAATAAAGTTAACAACAAACACGGTTTTAATTAGGCAACTATTTTATATAGTTATAATTAAAGTGCATTTCCTTTATTATTTAGTTGTTTGTAAGATTTATTTTAATAGTACAAAAGAGTGACAACACACAAAACCTGGGAAGCAAAGGCCATAAAACAAAATTAAACTGAAGAATATTAGAAAAGTTCAAACTGAAACATTTGGTCCACTTTCCTTCTCAGAAAAACAAGAAGGATTTTTGCCCTTGACTTCATGAATGAACAGCTACAGGCTGTTTAAAGAGCTGCTCCCCCACACAGTTACTGCTGGGACAAGGACGCGAGACAAGTGTCCCCGCAGGCGTCCAGAGACTTAAATATGAGAGGAAACAGGACATCTCTGTAAACTACAAGGTCTTCTGTTCTTAAAGGGGCAATATCATGTAAAATCAACTTTTTTGAGTTTTATATCATGTTATGATGTTATACTCTCATAAAAAACATGACCAAAGCCTTGCTTTGACTCATTCATGCATGTTTGAGAAATCCTGCAGCGTTTTTTTAGGAAGCCAAGCTGAGGAGCAAAACGACAGGTGGGGACCAGAAACACCCCTGGGACTAGGGGTGTAAGAAAATAYCGATACACTGAAATATCGCGATATTTCATTTCCTGATACTGTATCGATATTTTAAAGCCCTGTATCGATTTTTTATCAAGGTTTAAAATGCCAACTTTCCTGCCAACCGTTCATTTTTATGTTGTAGTTCAGCCTCTGACCACTAGATGGCAGCAGTGAGCCAGCCATTTGGCTCCTCTACCTCTTTAGCGCCAGAGAGTAAGGGTAGCATTAGCATTGTAAGTAAACATTAGCTTTTCTTTTTTTTCAGTAAGAGGTTTTTATTTAATAGAATTTTTGGACAAAAAAAATCGCAATATGTCACAATATATCACCTTGCTTACAGTATCGCAATATATCGGGATATATCGTATCGTGACCCCTCTGTTATGATATGTATCGTATCACCAAATTCTTGCCAATACACAGCCCTAC